CCTGACTCAACTTAAGAGAAACACACACTCCAGTTAGGAGGAACAAATGAACAATGATGGTATCTCTGCTGGTCTGCTCTTCAAAACTTAATGTGGCCAGAGCATGGGGTTAAGTTATATGGGTAGAAGCAAGGACCAAAGTAAATAAACAGGGGGATATACTAACAGAAAAATCCAGGGGAACTCAAAACAAAAACTCTATTTTTAGAGGGACACTACTCCTATGAAAAGACGCTAACAAAAACTATAACAAATTTCTGGCTCTGCCACACTTGCCTGTCCATATGGTACCGAGAGATAGATCTAACAGGTTTTTTGTGCCTATTTTCATTTTAGACAGGTTGTATCATGCATTTATGTAACACAGATCAGGTTTCAAGTCTAACTGTGCATGACCATATAGTCGCCCGGTCCCTAATTTTGCCACCTATTGTCGTCTGATTGGTTTTCACAGTAGGTGGCAAAAAAATGATGAGGGACCTTGCAACTACATGGTCACACACGTCACCCACTAAACAGTTTCGTTGCTCTGTGTAGGTACAAATTGTCAATGACTCCCCCCCACACACAGTATATGCAGTGTGAACAACCGCACCCCCACCCCATGTGCAAACTTTATAAACAGCTCCTACTGGTCACTCTCTTGCCAATGAAATAAGGTATACACAAAAACCAAAAGGGAAACAAAATGCAACCATTTTTAAAAGGACTAATGGTGATGTACGGTATCTTTATTTAACTTCATCCAAAACCAATCATACAAACAAGCACTGATACAACTTGGTCACCGCCAGGGAACCATCAAGAAAGAACTTTTATTACAGAAAATCATCTAAATATTACTACAATATATATTATGTCAACACTAAACGCACATGACAAAGTCTCGTAGGAATTTATTCACACCAGAAAGTATTACTGGTAATAAAAACATGCTGGTGGATGTTACATCATTTCTTTAGACTATCATAAGCCTTGAAGAAGTCAATCGGATGCCTGTGGTCTCTTCCATGCACATTTTTTTGTACATTCCATCTGAGCGACCTGGATAACAAACCTCCATATACATGTATGTGCAGTTGTTTAAATCCGACTCAAATCATCTGAGCTTTTCTGGTTATGAACAAAAAGCCTTTCCACAAACTAGAAATAAATCAACAGGATGCAGGATATGCACGTATGAAATTACAATATCAAACATCCATTCTGGAAAGAGCATTGTCGTATGACAGTTCATGCTGTAAGAGTTAGTAACATTAGTCGTTACACCATCATGACAACATGTATGCCAAATTCTGACTAACAGTCACATGTTCAAATAAACATGCAATACGACCCATCTCTCACAAGGATCCACTCTTACCCTCTTGACAAACCAAGGAATGACTTCTAGAGGTTAAATCTGCATTGTGGGATATGACTTTACATTGTTTCAAAATCCATCCACGCATCAACTGAAGGCCATCAAGTAAAAAAAAAGAATGACTTGTTTGTCACGGCATACATAATACTGAAAGCAAAATAAAACATGACGAATTCATTTTAACCATTTCACACCGGGCCCACATATCCGTGTTGATTCTGCTGGGCCGGGTGACTTTTCATTTTTTTTTCTGTTTTCAAAATTCATTAAAAATTCATAAGTTCATTTACTGGACGTTTACACCCACACAAATGACCCTTTGGTGGGTCTCTAATCTGACAGACAACATTCATTGACGCCTGAGTATTTCAGCCAGGCCTGCCACCTTGTGAAAAGCGCCCAGATTGTGCGATGTTAAGTAATTTTCTTTTGTTCCCGAAACTGGCACAGTGCGCTGCTGGCGTCTTTTCAATACGGGCCAGATTAGCATGCAGTGGTATTGTATTGCTCATCACTAGAATGCTGAAGTGCTTTTGTCCCCGGTGGTAATTCGCTCGCACTGAATGCTACAAACAGTGGTATAATCTTTCAAAACAATGAAGGATTTCCTCCGCTATTGACAACTGAAAAAATATTGCCAATTCCCAGCAGCCCCGTCTTTTGTTTCAAGTATGGTCTTTTGTGACAAGGCCCAGCTCTTTTGTCCGCCTTTGGGCTCCCCAGCTTCGTGTATAGAGCCTATGTCCCTGAAACCGGGGACTCTGGCACCAAGTGGTTAATGCAATACTTGATTAGCAAAATATCCTGGTTTCCACGAGGTGAAAGATATGAAATTAATAACTAACAGTGCTTATCCAATCAACATGGTGTACCTTTACCACTTAACAGAGAGTTGACTCACTGTCTGTGTACAATATTAGACACTAGAGCCTTGCCCAACAAAACTAAAAGAAATTCAACACTCAGGTGTAAAACAGATCAAAACTACTGATTTTTTTTTAGGGTATGAGAGAACAAAAAATACATTTGAGAAACAACTAACTTGTCCTCCAAAGCTGTTACTTACTTCACGTGGATCTGTGTACACAAACACCTGTAAGTGCACTGTAGGTGGACAAACATCCTCCACCCTAGTCAAGTTCTGACTCAGGTGGTTGGCGTTTCAGGGGAGAGTCCCTGTCACAGTTTGAAGAGAAATCCTTTCTATCCTGTGGACTCATTCAGTTTCACTATGCCTGATCGTCATAATTACAAACGTGAACAGTCCCTCCACCCTCCCACAGGCTGTGAGTGGGCGTATCAACTTCATGCAGGTACTATGTTTAGACCAGGATTTCCTGGGTTTCCAGTCAAGGCGTCCCCAAATGTGCAATCAACCGTATCTGCTTATAAACTACAACTTTCCTGTACCTGATACCAGTACAAAGGCAATAAATAACAATGACAAAAATGGCAGACTATCAAAATGCAATGCACACAAGTAACTGTAACAGATGTACGCACAGGAAGTAAACCACACTCTTTCAGAACAAGATGCAGAATATAGGTGTTCCCTAATTCATCATGACAAAGATAAAAATCACTTGCAAGTAAACAAATCAAATCAAACTGCTAACTAGTTTTATACTGCTATATATTTCAAGCACCTCACACTGGACATGCACTTTAATCAATAGGCCTATGTGCTGATGATGTCACACTTTGTTGTATACATGTGCACTTTCCTACACAGCCAGAGAGGGCCCAATGTCCACGGTGAACCAGAGACACACATGTACAATTACAATGTACATTAATGTATACTATCCAAATTTATATGTCATATGTATGTCATATGAGGATGAAGAGTTTATGCTGACAACTAATTGTATTTAAACAAATGAAATGCAGTATTTTTCTTGAATGTTTCACAAGTGAAGGTATTCATGACAGTAACATTCAAACAACTGTGCACTAACGTTCATAATGTTTATATTCTTCAAATAGTGAAAGAGTATAAAATGTGTGCACAAAGAGTTCACAAATTATGAAATTAAAAAGCTCCCACATCACACTTTGAAAAACAGCATTTATAATCTGTACTGTACGGTGCATGTGAGAATAATACAAACATGTATTTGAAAACTGCATCAAAAGTACTTATGACTCTGTTACAATGATACTGTAAAAAAATTGAAAACCCTCATGAAATATACACAGTTTTAGATAAAACTCCATATTTTTATGTTTAGGGGAAGGCTAGACATATTTACAAATGTACAACTTGCCCAGAGGGCCTGCATGTAGCCTCAATGACAAGCCATTGGTGCAGCACAGTAAGGTGACTACTTTTTGGTGAGAGCACTGTACAGTCTGCGCCAGAACCACTGTCTTAGATCTTTCTTGGTGTAATCACAGATTGTTAAATGGCGCAGGATGTTGGGCGGTTTGCAGTTCTCTACCATCACAGGTATCAGACGCTTGCTTCGTGCACCTGCAGACAAATGAGCAAAATCAATTTGAGGCCCCACTGAATGTTAAGCGCCATGACGTACAATGGATTCATTTGCTGGGATTGATCAAGCAAATGACAGGGCCCCTACATGCATATGCATATGCCTCCTCTAACATTAGGAGAAGCCAAAGTCGGTTGCATGGTACTAGTTCGAAAGTGATGTCTTCTGACTTACTTGGGGCAATGCTGTGAGCAAACTTGGTCTGAAAGTTGCAGTCTTCACTCGTCAAGAAATCCGGGGACAGCACAATGATCATACGCTTACATCTACGAGAATGGATTAGAGAAAGAGGATTACATGAACTCCACGAACAAGGCAAAAGAGGGTACCATGGCTGAGAATAGGGACATATTCTAGGAGAAAGATCAGCCTTTTGGTAAAGTCACACTGCATAAAAGTGGAAGTGTTGAGTATGCTTTGGGGAACATTTTTGAAGATGCAAGAAAAATAATCCCAATCACTTCTCCCAGGACACAGGTCGAGTTTCATAAACACACCCTGCAGGTGAATTTAACAGTTTTCACATGAAAATCGTCAAATTGCTTCACAATTTGCCTCTAACACCCATGGACAAGTAGTACACGTAAGTGTTTTAACTTTGCTTTTAGCAAAGCATCTGTGAGCACGCACAAAAGTTTATTTACATCCATGCATGATTCATCAGCATTTGTTAATTAAAGGGGATTCCCCTCCAAACAGGAAGTACATGTAGTTACACGCACATGTACATTACATCATAAAAGACATTCCAACGGTATAGTTACAAACAACACTTAAAGGGGCTTGGGAATACCTGTTCTCAATGAGTTCAGCTGTGATGGTTGAGTAGGAACCTCCAGGCACTAAGTCCCTAAAATCAATGCACAGTTTCAGGTTGTAGGGTTCTTTCTCCAGGACTGTCATCATTTCCTTCACAAACTCCCTGTCTGCATCAGTGAAGCAGACATAGGCATCAAAAACCTCCGGAGGGCCTGTGGAACACAGAGGAAAGGACAGTGCATTTCATAAGGTGGTTGTGCACGAGATCCGGCAACTTCTTTACTCAATATTTGATGAGTGTGAACTACTCACCAGCTAAATGCAGGAAACAGTCATCATGTTATGCCCAAATCATACTTGGGCGTGTCACAAGGACAACATAACAATGACTGATTGCAGCATGGCTGTAATTACCACACTAGTTCATGTACATTGTAAACACAATCTGGCCATCTGCATACACAGGGACCGCAGCCAGGTTCATCCATCACGCATGGCATTGAGTCACCTACAGCAGACACTTTTGTACACACTAAAGTAATCCTCCATTTTGTTTTGCACACCCACACACACACAACTTGACCACTGCCCTTGATCTCTGACCACAGCACACTACCTGCTGTGGCAAATAAATTGGCAGTGCCCCGTGGACTGTTGCAAAATATGAGATTGGGAAGATATATTGTACAAATCCATACATGTGCTTGATTAAAATGATTCGCGCGGGTCACTTATTTGTGGCATTGTACCGTAAAACAATGAGTTTCATGAAATTAACACCAGGGCGGTCATTTCAGGAGTCCATGCAATACTGTATGTTTGTTATTTGCCCATAAATCTTTTTCTCACAATGATATCTATAGACCCTCTCCTTACATGTAATGCATGATTCCTTTGCCTCACTCAACTAATCTATTCTTTCCTAGCTTGTCCAGATACAGTGTACATGAACTTTGCTTTTAATCTCGTGACATTTTTAACCAAGTCTGTGTCCAGGGTTCTGAGAGTGTTTTCCACTTCGCAGCTTCAATCAGGACATTTTCTTCAGCGTTAAGGCATTCCTGAGCTTTTAGGCATCTTTACTTCCCCACTCTTGTAAATTCACACGGTAATTCATGTACCTCTGTTTATTATTTCTTGAGTCAAATAAAATATTTCACTGTTCAAACTGAAATCCACTCTGGTTAATGGTTCTAGAAGGCAAAACACTCTGTCCTAGTATCGACAAGAGTTTCACACAGCTACATGTATTACATATTGCACAGCATAAGTTTACCTCCTGCATACATGTATTGTAAGCCGGCTTACATATACATGTACAAGCAGCGTAAATGAATTCATATTGCCACACACATATACTTTCACTTTTAGCATGGTGCTATATTCAGATCAGGTAAACTATAATGAATGATTATCAAAATTATGAGTAGTCAAAGAACCCAAGCAGTTGGATTCACATGACAAACATGCTATTGTGAAAAATAGTTTAAATAAAATGTTATCTACATGCATCTGAAGATAAACGGGGGGGGGGGGGGGGGGGGGGGTTGACGTGTGAGATCAACCACACCCTCTGATTCTCACCACTACTAATCAGGAAATGCCTTATCAAAATTCAAATTCAGTTTGATAGGATTTCATACTGCATTGTCATACGTGTAAATCAAAGAGATTCCTACAGAATATAACACAAATAAATAAAAGTATATGTATTAACTAGGTGGTGTGATTACAAAATTGAATGTATCACATTACAATTTTCTGAAAAAGTGAAGCCACTGCAATTTGAAACTCATTTACGTATGAACACTTGACAAAATACTAGTTTTTCCAAAGTCAACATTATATATGCACCAGATGGAAATATCCTCTACATTTAATGCCGTTCCATCTTCAGAAATTAGAATCTGGAACATGTCCATGTTGGCCATAAATTTGTAAGAAACAGGCCATCTGTTATCCCTGAACCGGGCCACCACTTCCTTTTTCAAAAGGAAACTGCGTGTACATTTCCGTGCTTGTATTAACATGGTGCAACACAGAGTTTAGGAAGCAGGATACCAGTACATGGACATGTACCTGTACATGTGTCAACATTTTCCCCATGCGACCCCATTCATGGACTTTCTTCCAATAAAAACCACAATTGACAAATGCTCTTCTTAAAATGGCCACACCAGTGGGTAATACCCACAGTACAGGCGAGTACAAGTATACATCAAATTTCACAGCCATTAGGGAATTCTGTTCCAGAAAAACCATATCTGTTTACAAATTGGTTGAAGTAATACAAAGACACCCTTGACCTGTTGACATTCTACATGTGTATTGCGTAGTACCAATGGGGCATTGCAAAGTACTGCTTTTCTGTGAATTTGCCAACAGTTCATCTTGCAGGAAATTCTCAAGAATAGGTAAAAGGACAAGTGCATCTCATTGTATTTCTTTTTATTTACCTACTCACATGATGCTCTGCCAAAAAAACTCAATTCTATAAGTAGGCAATACAAAGTTTACATAAATTCATTATTGAGCTGGGTGTTTGGCTGACTAAATCATCACTGCTTTTGTGCTTGACAAACTTTGACTGAAAGTTTTGTGCTCAAGGGAAAATATTGTACTGTGCACAGCTTTCAGGAATACAAATCATTACAATAGCAGATTCAAAATGCCTACACTTACCTGGATGCTATTCAAACTTTCCTGAAAGAAATGACGCCTAGCCTAGGTTCTCCCTTTATGCCACTAAACAAAGGGCCTAAAAATATACCACTGAAGGCATTCACTTAGTTACGGGCGGTTGCAAGGACGGTCACAAACATAACATAACTCCACACTCCTGGAAAATGCAAGTTCCAAAACTGTGCCAAGCGTAGCAAGTTTTCAACTTTAAAATTATTCAATCTAAAATTTTCCTTGAAAATGGTTTTAGGAGCAACTATGCAGAGCGGAAAATAATGGACCACAGCAGTACCATGCTTAACAACCGGGGGAGTACATGTCCATATTTAACTTGTGCCTCATCATCGCTAAAAACACTAGACAATTGTGGAGTAAGCATAAATTCATACCTTTAAAGGAAACGCGGTTGGGAACTATAACCACAGCGATCTTGGCAAATTTTGTTATGTAGTATCTAATATGTGTGTGCGTAAAAAATCACAGCAAACAACTTCAGCAACTTTGACGATTTCATTTTCACTCAAAGTCAAACAGGGATGATCAAAGTTGTTAAATGCAAGCTGAATCTCTGAAAACAGCTGCTTCAAGTTAAACTGGTGTCGAGTTTAACTGGTCGTATCATGACAATTTTCGAGAGTGTCTGTAGGTGAAGTGTCAGAACACAGAAGGCAGGCGTCTGCATCAATGCATGTACTGGACTTGCTTTGCAGCAAATCAAGCCATGACATTTTGCCCTTCAAGCAAGGGCAAGTTGGACACGCAACAGTTTGTTAACCACTTGGGCGATTTTGCCCGATGCCCTCCTTGCCATTTGTATATGTTACGTGCATCTAGGTTACCACTCAAAATCCACCATAGGTTTATTATTCAGTGATCAATCTTGCCCAAAGTCGGTGCTTTAACCCTAAGCCCCCAAGGGTTTCTGGCCCTAACCTTCCCCATTCACACAAAGTTAAACACCCATATGGGACTTTGTGCACAGAGGCTGTTGGACTTTGTTTTTCTGAGGTATGCCAAACCCAATGCAAAAGCCAGCTGTTATGGGCCTACCACACGTGGTTCCAACAAATTCAGTTTGCTCAGTCCTACCTGAAACATGATCCTCCAATGTTATCCCTCGTAACTCTGGTGTTTCAGGGACATTTGGATAGCTTCCACTCACTGTAATACAAACAGAAAGGAGAAAAAAGACATTTGCATAAATCAATGACCTTATTAGGAAGATTCTGATCATTACCAGAACTCGTCTGAGCCATCAGCTCTTCCCAATACGCAAGAATATTACAGGCCGTTAGTTTGATCTCATAAGTGTCTTACCCTCGGGCACTTGGACTGGTTGGCCAGTTATGTCACCTCTACGTCTCTCTAGCCATCGGCTTGCATCTCGCTCTGAAAATTACAATAAGAATGATTCACATGGTCTCACAATTCATGTACTGTAAGTGAACAATTCGTAATTTGGAAAGAGTTCCACACATGAACACCCCCTGTGTAAACCCTATGAGACTGGTCTGAACAGTTGTGTGTTTCTGCATAAATGCGTTAACATTTTCCACACTAAATTTTACTCTTTAGGACAGTACTGCTTTCTGATGGCTGATAAACCACTACAAAGGGAAATTAGTGATGTCTGTGTATGAAACTGAACTTAACCACCGACATGTTTACAAACACCCTCTGCCATTTTGTTTTGGAAACAAAATAAAACACTGTCATAACTCCCTCGAATTTGGTATTTAATGATCAAATTGATATTGTTAACAGTATTCAACAATAAATACTGACAATAACAATCATTCTTAGAAATAAATAATTTACAGTGACTTAAATGCTCATTAACAGATATTTTATTGCGGACCATTATACATACCGACTAGTTTCTGAATATCATTTAATACATCCTCTCTATTGATGTCTCGCAGCATTTCTAACAGCACTCCAATCGTGCTGCCTTGTTGGCATGTCCACGCTGAAAGAACCATCTTTGTGGGGTCTCTCTCCAGTGCAAAGTTCTCAATCTCCTCATATTCAAATCCCATCTCTCCAGCCAGCCCCGTCCAGTCATTGTGCAGAACTTTGGGAGGGTTCAACATGAGTGACAGGCGTGTCCTTGTTGGCACATTGAGTGCCCTTGCAGGAATCTTTTCCAAGTCCAACTCACTAGCATCAATGTTTGTAGATCCAGTTGAAGGCAGATTTACACGCAAGCCAGTAGGCCTACTGCATGTTGAAAGCATGTCCACTTTGCTCAGTTGATCTGCTTGCGTTGATCTGCTACTTGTCATAGAGGACATCGTTTCTGTGTTTGAGCCGTGTGGTGAGTAATCATAACCACTCATTCTGTTTGTCATATTCGCATTAGTGCCCGGCCTAGTGGGCTTGGACCTAACTGACTCAGTGACTTGGGAATCGGAACAAGGCCTGTAACTATTCGATGCTGATGATGAGCCCGAGTTTGGAAACAGGCAGGCTATGGGTTCAGTTCTACCGAGTGCTGTGGTTGTTTCTATCTTTGTGGTTTTATGTGTATCACTGTCGACGGGCGTCACCACTTGACTGCTGTACGTGCACGTACCGATGGTGGCATTCCCACCCAGTGTTCGACCCGGATACAAATATGCCGAGGCCTCTTGATCACGCTTCTCGGAAAATGCAGGACTCGTAGACATTCTGAATGCAGAGGAACGTGTGGGTTCAACCCTGCAGATTACAGTGTCGATGTCAGTCAAGTGAGTCGCTATGCAAAAAAGGGTCTAATGTCCGTTCAGGCGTGTCAGTTATTCCCCAGCTGCGTCAATCTCCTCATTCAGCGGTTTAGAAAGACGAAATCGTGCAGTGTGTGTGCGATCGGAAACTTTGCACAATGGCGATGACGTACCCTACGTACGTACGAACGAACGTGCTAAGCTTATTTTGAGCTCGAGTTAGCCTTTAATAAATCACGCCTAGATCGCATGGCGCTGGGCAAGCGAATAACGTGTAAAACGAGCGTCTTTACGTCTAGTTACCGGCCAGCATTGGCCAGCGCACTGTTTTACAGCACACAACATAGGTAGAGAGAGGAAGCTTTAAACGTTTTAAAACCTAATAAGTAGAGGAAAAAAGTCCAAAGATTTTGTTAGTTAAATGCCTAAAAATACCAAATGTTAACATTTTAGTTTGTTCTGCAAATAGTACATTAAGAAAAGGACTGCCGTGACGTGTAACGTTCGACTAAGAATAGGATACCCTTTTTGAAATTGGAATGATCTGCGCTTTTGCGTCAGCTATAGCGCTAAGGGGTTTCCCCTATTCCCCTAATAGTTTGGTTTTTAGTTTAAAGATTCTTTTTGTTCGTTGAAGGCCTATTTCTGTTCATGATTGTCGTCAAGTCGTATTGTTTTTTTTTTTTTGTTCATTTTACTCATATTTTTATTTCTTAAGTTTATGTCCTTCATATTTCTTTATTGTCATTCCTTGGTTTGTCTTTATATAGATAGGCCCTATGTCATATTTATTTTTTTACAATACTGTTTACCATATTGTTTTGATTTTTACCTTCGGTTCATCCCATCATTTGATATACCAAACTCAGTCAACATAACGGGGCTCGTATTCGACAACTAGTGCTTCTTATGTACCCCTCTATTGCAACACCTTGTTATCACTCCATTGTTTTATTTTCCATTTCATAATTTCCACATATTTTCATACTCTTATTCGGAACTGTTTGGAATTGGAAATAAACTTAGGCCTATGTAATTAATAGGCCCCTATTCATATGGGTGGCCAAATTTTGCAGAAATGTTACCCTTGGTTAGTAACAGGCTTTGTCTCATTCATTTGAAAGATTAGTTCATTTTCCTTTAAGTAGGCCTACTTATTTATCAATTTTTTACTCTCTTTTGCTTTTGCAGTGAGGTATAGTAGCCGCTAGTTGGAAAACAAACACACGACTATGATGTAAAAAAGAGGTCTGTTAAGCCAACCTGCTGACCTATAACTAGAGAAGATCTGATGGACCCGGGGAGTCTTTTCATTTGAAGACATGGGATCATATCACGACAGAAGCGTGTGGGCCCCCGGCGACGGACCCGCCGCTCCACAAAAGCGATCATCGCCTATCATCATTGAAAACATCGTAACACAAACAGCGGAGTGGCCGAAGGTAGCGTATTTCGACGTTCCCCTATAGGGTACAGTCCGGGTACAATCAGCACTGTTCAGGGCCCAATAACATGCACGCCAACTTCCCTGAGATTCCTGAAACACAAATGAAATTCTTCTCTGGTTACTTATCTTTCACTTTCTTTTCAATTTTTTTGTGGGTTAACCAATTACATTTTTAATTATTCCCACAAAACAAAAAGTGATTTTTCCGAAGTCTGATTGCAGCCATTTTTCGAGTGGCAACCCTCAACTTTCTGGGGCACTTAAGAGCATTTTTCAACCGTAGTTTTTAGCCACTCTGCTCTCATATGAAAGCTCAAAGACCCAGGGAGTTGATCCTGGCAAGGATTCACACCATCTCACCATTTTGGGGGCCAAACAATCTCCTTTTTCAAAAGATACTGCGGGGGGGCACTTTTAATGCTAATGAGCTGGCTAGAAACTCTCACTTGAATTAGTGGTCTGCACCCTCAACTTTCCTCGTGCGTTGTTGCCAACCTCTCTGTTGAAAAACTTCATGTTCGTTGTTAAATTTCAGTGTCGGGAAATTTTGTCTGAAGTCCCAAAACGGTAGCGTCCAACACCTGGGCACAAATCCAGCTCAATGTTCCCTAATTTAGCGCACTTGAACAAACTTAGAGAATTCCTCATTAATATTAATTTTATGAATCCCTTCAAAGTCGACAAATTGTAGTAAATCATTATTACCTCTGTACCCACCTAAGAATTTGTACGAAAATTATTTTGTTCGTTTTGAGCGCATTTTAAGAAAGTTTATCTTGCAATTGAAAAAAAGGGAAATCAGATCAAAATAAAAAAACAGTTGGATCAAGGTTACCCCTTTCCCGAAAAAAGTTTTACAGGCAAGCCTATCTACATCCCGCCTGCCCGGATCTGTCCACTCTGCATTGGTTAAATTTTCATTCCAAGTGATGGCTTTGAAGGTCTTTTCACTTTCCCTTTATCATTCCCTCTTCAAGAGTATGGGTCGGAAAAGGGGTTCAAAACTAACGATGGATTGAGAACCAAATTTTTGGGAGGCATTTTAAGGGGGGATGAAGATTTATGTTATGAACTCTGTAAGGCGTTTGGATGGAGGTTGAAACCGGCCCCAATAAGACAACCGAGTTACCGCTGTGGTGTTTCGGTAACCCAAGGATTTGTTAAGTCACAAAATGTGGAAAGTGGTATGACGTTAAGAACTATCCTTGAATTAAAAGCCCCTGATGATATGCCAATGACACGGGCGCGTCGGACGGGGGGGCATGGCCTGATCGCAATAAGCTATCCTCTTTCATCAATAGAAAAAGCGCTCGATAGGTACCAGTGCGCTTAGGCGGAACGTACGGTCGAGGGAGATGAAAGTTCGTGGCGATTCGGATTCTAATTCTAAAAACTTTTATTTCATTGTACAAGAGCAAAGGACGTCCGGGTCAAGGTGCCAAGCAAGGGGCGGAAGTTAAACAAAGAGACAGAAAAACATACGTGTAGAAAGCAGGCGGATGTGGCAAAATCCAACTGAAGTCTGTGAAGGCTTTCAGTATTAAAGCGGCGGACTTTGCTCTTTGACAAGACACAAACACCCACCCGAAAATGTACAGTTTATACCAGTTTGAGATTCTAGGTCATATTTTCAGCGGATTTATTTTTGGTTCTCGCTGTCGTTATCTTCTCTTTAGAAGATGCAGCCATCTAGGAAGCAGTCATTAGATCATGGTTATTTCCGAAGTTTTCACTAAGTGTATGTTAAAAAAAAGTCACCTTACTTTTGATTTTTAATTTTAAAAAAGAAATAGGAGGATACATATTCTTCCTCCATTTTTGTTTCCTCAGCTTGGTTCAACGTATCACGAAAAATGTGTACCATCCCTGTTTTCAGCTACACCTCAATTTGGGGCACCGTCCCCCTCTTATAAATACTGGGTATCCCCCTTTTTATAGAATGTTACAATACCAAAGTTTACAGAGAAAAGACAGGAAAAAGAAAACAGTAACCTCCATACCTTAAACAAAGAATGCCACAATGGAGTTTTACGAAACTGATCATTCAATTATGTGGCGAAAGATGAGATGTGTTTTCTGAGCAGGCCTTGGCACAAAGACGATGATAAAATTCAATATTTATCGCTGAAAATTTGTGCTCATAATTTGGATTTGATTTAAAAATCAAAACTGTGTGACAAATGGTGCACTGAGTCGATTCCAATGAGCAAATTTTAACGTGCAAATCTGTACATCTGATTGAAACACTTTCACCGGGAAAGCTTTCCTGGCATCGCTAACACCACGGCTACTGTTTGCCAAGTGGAAGCTGTGACGTCAGAGGCCATATACTATTTACAAGGGAAGAAAATACCCAAAGGTTAAAAAGTACTTATTTTTACACTGCCTGCTTTACTCTTCACCGAGGTGCGCTTATAAATTGTTGATCGAGGGCCTGCAAAAGAATTCAAAAGCTCACACAAGTGGATTTTTTTCCCACCGTCAACCTGCTGAACAACCTATTATCAATTCAGAGGCCGCCCACTGCTAACCCAAACAATTTGTGACAGGAAGGGTAATATCCAGGATTTCCAGAAAGGAAAGGGAAGAAATGTTTGATAGATAAAAGTGATTTTTTGGCCTCCCCTGACACACCTGAACTACTACTTTAGCCGTATGATTACAACATTGTAATCAAATTTGTACAACAGTTGAAATGACATAACTTGAAACAAAACCATAACTTTGAGATACATATAATTAACTTGATAACATTAACAAACCTTGCCTCTCTCAAGGCCATTAAGAGATTCACAAGCAGAGATCTTAGGCATTGCCAGGAGAGGGGGAACAGCTATTCCCAGGAGAGGGGGGAGGAACTATTCCCAGGAGAGGGGGAGCAGCTATTCCCAGGAGAGGGGGAACAGCTATTCCCAGGAGAGGGGGAGGAGCTATTCCCAGGAGAGGGGGGAGGAGCTATTCCCAGGAGAGGGGGAGCAGCTATTCCAGGGGGGGGAGCAGAAATCCTTTCTTCACCAAGGGTAGTTGAAGCGACCTCAACATTTTACCCCACAGTCCCTTAACATTTTATAAACTGCTTAAAGCTCATTTCAACAGATGTGTAATGTTAGCCTTGTAAATACCACTCCACAAACTTTGGTAAGAATTCAACCTTGCATTTTATTTTGCTTTTTCTTTGTAAACATGTGTATTTGCTTTAATTTTAGGACACCTGTCATTTCCATGTAAAAACTGCCTGATATTCCAATCAATGGAACGACACGCCATCTATAAGGGATACATTATTAAACCACCAATACACATATAACCAAAAGAGGTGTCTATCATTACAAGAGGTCACTGCGGAAACCCACACGAGAAACTTTGAATGAATAGTTGCTAATCCCCCTTTACTGTATTCCATTCATACAAAGCTCTTCAAAACTCATTTATTTCACATAAATCATGTGTTTGTTGGACCACATGACATAAATTTGCAGAGAACAGTTGATATTCTGTCATATGAACAGCCGAGAGCAATTCTATGCATGAGCTAAATGTACCATACGGTGTACGCAAAACCTAAAACAGTCCCAAATCCTCCGATTTCAGTATGATTTTACATACACCCTAGGGGTTAGGTTAAGGTTAACGATAAGCACTGTATAAATCATTTTCACTTTTGTTTCTCGGGTTGTAGCCAATAAATAAAACCAATACCTCCTTTGATAAATCTAATTATACACCTTTCAAAATATTGATGTCTTTAGTGTCTGCTCTAAAGTTCATAGCAACTTAACTTAGATGATACCCTTCAGACACAAGGTATCTGGTCACTGATTTGCCCGAGCTGAAAGAGAGAGCTGTACTTTGCACATGACCACTCGTTAGTTGCCTAGCATACTATTATTCCCATTCACAAGTTGCTTTCAGTTAAAAAAGTCAAACCAAGTCAAGAATCAATGAGTTTCCAATAGGATTCCAATCTTCAATTTTGTGACACACCCTTCTGACTAAGTCTAGGGTATATGTCTCCCACATGCTGTGAGAGTGACACGAGGCACGTGCTGTGCGATGTAACACTGAAAGCAGAGGCCACCAGCTGCGTTTTAATGGCACTTAAAAAACTACCCCCTCATTTGGGGTTTTGACCAATAATGTGCAATGACTTAGTACTTTGTATCCAACAGAAAAGGCACTGTAGGAATGACCAATATTAAGACCCTCAGTCAGGTTACGCTAATGGTAAAATGAATAAATTAAAGATACAAACTCATTGCTTGAATGGTTATTAATTATTTTTATTATGCATTCAGAAATCAATTGGAGCGTTAAGAAACTCATTTTGAAATCAACTGATGTTCTACACATACTAGTGCATGTAGGCTTGACATTCTTACTGATACCACATTGGTGTAAATGAGAGACCGTGGTCTACGCCTGTCCTCCGATGGCTCTGACAATGTCTTGCATCATCTGAGTGGCTTGTTGAAACAGAAAACTGAGAGAAATGACACACAAGGAAAATGAAATGACAACTTTGGAATTTTCAACATTTGTTATTGTTGGTCTTGTACTCACATAATCTTTGTGTCCACTTTTTACCATTTCAGAAAAACAATTCAAACCACTGCGGGCCAAAAATGAGGGGCCGGCGAGCATGTCATTGGTGCTGGATACGTTTAGTGACAAGTCTAGTGCCCAGCCCACTGCCAATTCCTAATCCTTACAGATTGGTGCATATCATGCGTGCTCCACGCCATAGGCTCATGAACCAACAAACACTTCCTCAATTCAAAGTACGTTTTACCCTGCAGTTTATCATCTGTCTTCCTATTTCATAAATATTACCCCAGAAACTCAAAGAATTCAGAAGTCTTATAAGTAGCCTTCATTGATTTTTAAAATTGTATCATTCAAACTAAAACAACCTTAACTGGATAGAATGGGATTTGAACCTGGGTCACTGTACCAGTGTTCTACCAACTGAGCTATCCAGCCTTACGTTGAAAGCTCTTCCCATTTGTCAATATCTTTGATCAGGAGCGCTAGTCAGAGGCCATAAAACCTGAAACTCCATATTACCAGAGTGAACGCTCACACGCACAATTATGTGAGTAAAAGACATTAGCGCGAGAACCAGCCCATGAACCAACTCCATTCGTTTGTACGGCATTCACTGGTTCTACATGACATCACACTTTTGGTACTCATTCGAACCTGGGGTCAGGTCCCAGACCCAATGCAACTGGTGGGTTATTGTGACCAGCTACTTAGGTGACTCACTTATCCGCGTTTGGACCAGCAACATCATCTTCAATATGCTCATTCCTCAGTTTCTGTAAGTCCTCAAGTTTACTGTTAACAGCTGTCAGACAGGTCTTGATTCCTGCAACCTTCTTTGTGCCTGCATGAGCAAAAAACACACAGAGGGTATCTACAACGCCACCTTCATTACTTACATTCTCAAATAAACCAATCCAAGGTAGGTACCCAAGCCAAATCTTGACTGAGTACATATTTACCTGAGCCTCTTGGAGATGCAAACCATATGAGAGATGGCACAAAAGATGTAATTAATTACCGTGACTGACGGCATGTAGAATGTATACCATCCCCACCAGATCCTCAACGCTTTGCACAGCATTGGATGATGTACACTGTTCTATCTCATTGACAAAGGACCTGCGTAACAGTGAGAACACAAAGGGTTTAAAGGTCAAAACGTATCTAGACTTAAAAAAAGAGAAAAATGTCGGAACGAATAGTTTCGTGCTAAAAGAGTCATCTTTGTGTGTGTACGCATAGGGGGGGTGTTGAAAGAGTGGAATGCCTGTACATATCTCTCTGATAACACTAAAATGATTTTAAAAAATATATATCTGATTTCTGATATTTTGTTTAAGGTCATTTGTGTCGAGCTTAGTGTATTGTGTGAGTTTCAAATGGATATTTAGACGTGGATAAAAAAATGTCGAGAGTTCCGACAAATTTCACTGCGTGAGGTTCTCTCACAGGTGTTTTAAGTCAAAGTGGCTCTGACAACTTGGGACTCGCTTTGTTAGGTTGGATCACATATCCATCTATGCTAGAACTCAAGAGTATGAAAGTGACCACACATTACACTAAATTACAGATTGTAAAAGGTTTAAAATACAGATGTTAATCTGTTTGTTTTGAGTTGTGCAGTTCTGAGAAGATCTTGTTGTTCCAACTCGACGTTTCTTGAACAGCATGCTCTGTTTGTTATCAGGGGAAAGAGCACAGTATGAAACGTCACGTAGAAACAACTGATTCTTTGCAGAGCCACACAGCTCACAGAAGACATGAGTTTCCACGCTTTGAGCTCACTCTTATCCATTTTGTTCATGTCCACCATGCAAACCTATATGTCATAGCACTAAACTACAAATCTCATCATGGGTAACATCGCGACAAGTGACAAAGTGTCCACTCAGTCAGGGTACATACATCCAGAATATTTAGAGACAATTACAAGCAGTAGAAGACATTAATCAATCACAGCCAATGATAGCATTAGGTACTATCAGCCCCAAGCTGGACCAAGAGAGGGCGCAATTTCCCCAGAAACGCGGGTTCCATCGGTCGGAATGCAATTCTCTTGTTCCCAAACTTCTATGAAATGCATGCATTACAATCGTATCACTACAAAATGAGCATTCCTACCAACATTGCTCTTTTCAACCGATGAGGGGGTGCTTCTGCTCAAGGTGGATACCTTAAAAGTTCTTCAACCTTGAGTAACCTTTGACTTTTGTACACTACCTAGAGGATTTAATTTTTCAAGAAATAATCTGGCCATTTCATCATGTCAATATTGAGCTTGAATTACCCCAGCATGGACTGTGTCCGTGCTATCATGTCTAGCAAGAAAGCAGACAGTGTAGGTAACTTGGTCACATCCTGGCAATGGTCCAGCCCGCCTCCTTGCATCCGATGCGTTACCTCGGCAACGATGGCAGCCATGACTGATGGCATGATATCATAGGCTGGGGTGCCTCGGACACCTTGTTGTTGTTTGTGGCAACAGTGCAGGACTCCCCGGACGGCTGGCTTGATTGCAGTCAGTGTCTGGGAGCAGAAAAAGAACTGGTTACAGTCCCGTGTTTGTAACCATTTGAAAGACCTAATCGATATATCATATAAACTGAAGCAGAAAATCCTTATTCTTCAACTTGAATACATAACAATCAACAGTTTAGAGGAGAAATGTTGAATGTCATATCAGGAAATATTGCTCCAGTGTCCCAAGTTACAGTTATGAAAAAGTGGCTGTGGTTATGATATTCGCACTTAATATTACTTTGTTACCGAATAGAAACTCCATTCGCAGGTGATTGAATGTGAACATATCTGTAGCCTACATTCTTGAATTGGATAAGTACACATGTTGTCCACAGGCGCAGTGGGATGGGGAGACTTCATGGATCAATCTGTTGGCATTTATCCCACACTGAGTCAATGTCTACTTTCTTGGATGACCCGAGTTCTTCTACCTTCAAGCCCTCTCACCTTCTGTACCTGCTCGCTCTGCCCGTCTGAATCCTCCATGATTCTGTCTGCCAAAGCCTTGACGACACCACCCAGCAGACGGGTCGGTACTGCCTCATCGTTTACCTCCCTGTCCTGCATCACGCTCTGGTGGGGATCTTGCTGGGTTATCTGATACAAAAGCCTGGTGATGTCTGGAAGGTGCTCAAAACCGTGGCCTGTGCCAAGACCCCAAGACAAACCGAGCAAAGAAACTGATTTTAAGTCACCGCATTTAGATCTTATTAACCACTACCAGCC